CCATCAGAACTACTATGAAGCGTTTTTCCTCCAAAATTTCATCCAAAGTTCACCCCAAAAACCGGTAATTCTGGCTTTTCTCAATCAATCAAAAGTTACGATTATTTTTGATTAATTGAAAGAACCAAAATGACCGATTTTTGGGGTAAGGTTTTGGTTGAGACTTTCTGAGAAAAAGTTAAACCATCTTAATTCTGATAAAATTCTAAGCAACTTTTTTGTTCTCCTCACTTTTTGTCTTAACTTAACCCAATTTGAGAAAAACATGTTCTGGAAAATTCAAGTTTTTTTCATTTTGTCCGGATAATTTAAATCAGCACTGTATGTTTCAAGAGACAAAAAAATGGAAACAAGTTACGAAAAAAAAGAGGAAAATTTTTTTTTGATGAACTGTGATTTTACGCATAATGTATCAGAAAAGGCTACATACTAGTTTTTTCTAATTCAATAAGCAAGCACTGCTTTTTGATATTGTTCGGCAAATTATTCGAAATTTCAGAACGCTTTTGTTCTCTGTGAGATTAGTTTGCAGCTTATATGGTTAAGAAGATTGTTTCTGTAAGGTTTCTAGGTTTTTGGTATAAGAAGACAACCCGAGAAAACAAAACTTATCCTAATTATTTTATAGAGAAATGTTTAAATGTGAAAATAAAGAGGTTTACATTTAATAAATATTTACCGGTAGAAAGGTCTTTTGCATTGGATGAGGAAGTTAACTTTTTGTTTTTGTTCTCCATTTAATGAGACACCTGAAAACGGGCCGTGCTGGCTTAATGGTGTTCGCCCGCCCAAGCAATTCCAATTTGTATTTAGAAAATTTTATAAAAAAAGTTTTGTTATAAGATATTATTGATATATCTTTGTAATTAGATAAATCAATTTATTATGATTTTAATTAGCTTAATTGAGGATCAATTTACCTTAAGCTGTTTCACCAAATCAGGGATGAAACCAATTCTGAAGTTTGGTTGACTTATTGGCTTAACTTTACATAGCTGTAGAGTGAGAGATCGAAAACACTTATTATCAAAATGAATTATTGAAAATGCATTATTGAACAGTTTTATAAGAACATCTGGCTCTTCTCATCAAACAATTTATCGAGTTTTAGGTAATCCCAGGTACTCACGCTGAGTGTTTTTTCTCTGTGTCTGCAATTTTTGGTAGAAAAATCAATGTCTTAGGTTTGAAAAAGAAACAATTTTACAAAAAAAGTTTGCATCTTTGGGCAAAAAGTTTGGTCATTTTGTCATTTTTGTATATAGAGAATTGAATAATCAGCTAAATTTTTTTTTTGTAAACCAATGCTAACTAAAACTTGTTTGACGCATCAACATCCTCATATCTTTTTTCTTGTAGATGAGATTCCTATACTTTTGATGTTGTATCAATATCTATAAAATTTCCATGAAAAGATAAGATAAGTTTTGTTGATTGATCAAACGCATTTCTGTTTTTTAAGTGCAGGTCATGTGTTTTTCACGAAGAGGCTGAAAGGACCAAAATTGTACCTTGCGATTTAAGCTATGTTTTGACCGACTCGACCTAAGTTGGCTATTTTTTGACCAACTCGACCGACGGAAAAATCTGTTCGATGGTGCTCGACCCAAAGATGTTGTGTTTTGACTGACTCGACCCAAACAAGCTACATTTCGAACAAAATGTTCTAAAAAATTTTTGCAACTCAGATTGTTATCTGCCCTGATGTCTTTCACCCCCAACTAGTAAGATAAATCTTTTCACGTTCTAAAATATTTGAGTTCTTTCATTTCTAAATTAAATTTTTGACAAATGAAATTTTTTTCTTTGGATCATGAGTAACCCATTTTGTGAGCTCGACCATGTTTTGACAACTAAGCCGGCAAACACAAAAAGGCGGACAGAAGTCCGAAAAGGAACAAAAATTGGCTTTGACAATACTTAACATGCCGAAATCGAATCGCAGGCTCATGTTTTCTCAAACAATTGTACTACCCCTACACCTGATGCGCTGCATGATCGATTGACTACTAAGCAAGATAAAATTTTGTCAAATTTTGTGAAGAGGTGGGGCTAACGAAAATTAATCATGTACCCGGTTGAACAACTTTAATTAATGCAAGTTTATTGACAATAAATTTAATGAAGAAAAAATATCAGTTCACGAAAGTCATTAGCAAAGTGTAATTTGCGAGACAAAAAAATTGCAGTCATTAGCAGAAATGTTGCTCTTTTACATCAAATTGAAACATAGGCTGATAAAAAATTTTACAAATGATTTTCAATCATAAAAAAATGTCAGACACAATTAACAATTAAAACACCACATCTACAAAAATCACCAATCGAAATCGGATTTTTTTTTCGCAAAAAATTATATCATTATTCTTCCAAAAATTGCTTTAAGTTGCTGATAATTTTCAGTTTATACGTTGTGCTTGAAAACCTGGTAACGTATTTTTTTTCAGTACTTCATGCATGTATGTAGGACAACGTCAACGATGCAGTAACGCATGGAAAAGTCTCTAGCCTGTTTTCCAAGCGACTGTTCCTCCAATATTTCAAAACGAATAGTTCGGTTCCTCCGAGACTTAACTCAGGTGGATGGAAATCAAGATTATAATTCGACAACGTGTTCGACTATGTTTTGAACTAGCGTTTGACTATGCTTGGACCAAGTGTTCGACTATGTTTCGAATTAGTGTCTGACTATGTTTTGACCGAGTGTTCGACTATGTTTCGAATGGGTTTTCGACTATATTTGGGCTATGAGTTCGAATCACTTAATTTGGAAGCAGCTATTCCAATCTATTTAAAAAAGTTTCCCATAGAAAAGTTTTGCTGTATTGTTAGTAACTGTTGACAAATGAGAAGACAGGAAGTTACACAAAAAAAGTTAACGTAAAGTCACCTTAACTGAGTTAAGGTTAAGAAAATAATGGTGTGTCTTACCCTTACTTACCTTAAATTTATCTTAATTTTTTTTCTCAGGAAAATTTAATTAAAAAAAGGTAAACTTTACTTTAACTCAGTAAGTTTACCTTAAGATTATCTGAAAAAAATGAGAAGAGTTTTTACATAACAGAGCTAAGTTCTAAGTTGTAGTTGTTAAACTAAGTTCTAGTTGTTAGACGCCAAAGAGACAAGGTTTTGATTAAAAATTCAAATTTTCCAGAGAATCAGAAAAGTTTTAGATGCAGAAAACAACTAATTCTTATTTTGGTTATCCCTTTGAAAGTTAAATTGGGTTATAATTGACAGCAGCGCCAGAAACAAAAAGTTTGTGAAAAAACCCAAGCAACAGCATATTTTGTCAGAGAAGCAGACATTTTTCCGACGCAGAACACCACTTATCGGAAATTCGTTTCATCCTTTGAGAATAAGTAATTTCTAAAAAGCGTTTATGTTTTCCATGCCAGGTTCCTTCCATTTTCTCGGACATTTTGAATTTTTTCCAAAACTTTTTTTGATTTTACGGTAAATTTATTTTAATGCTAAGGTAATAAAGGTAATTTACCTAGTTTTTTAAGGTAAAAATTTTAATGTTAAATCACCTGAAAGGGAATTTTCAAGGTATTTTTTCTAGGTTTACACACCTTAAATTTTTAGAGAATTATCGGTAAAATTTTAGGGTGCTTATAGGTAATTTAATGTGTACTCAAGGTAGTGCTAAATTTGCCTTAATTGTTAAACGTTTTTTAAGGTAATTTATCGGAACTTTTTTCCGTGATCCTTAAATTGTTTTTTTGCGTTTGATTTTAAAGATGACATCAAATTTAAGTTATCATTTAATTTAACAGTAGATATTTTTATTTTTTGCTTTAAAATTTGAGTAAATATTTAAACAAATTCAACGCTGCATATAATTCTTTGAAAATGAGATACAAATTGAAAATGACACTGGTTAAATTTATTTCAATTTCTCAAACAGATCGTTTTAATATAATCAATAATTAAATAATACCTCAGAATGATTAATAAAATGTTATAACTTAGCTTAGAAAAAATATACTGACCGAGGCCAGTATAAGTGTTGTAAGCTGAGTATTAACAAATTAATTATTATTCTGAGTAATATTCTGAGTGTTATTATTCTGAGGCGACAGCCACATCCCATTTCAAGTGTTAATATTCGATTTTAATAATTTTTTAGTACTAGTCTTACAAAAATTGAGAAAAAAACTAATTTTAATCAAACATTAATTGATTATAATATCTCTTTTTGAAATCAAATATAATCAATTATAATACATTATATTTTTCCTACGCTATCATTTTTACCCGAATTTCTTGAAACACTTTTTTTGCAGAATTGATTATTTATAATTAATTATAAAAGTTTATAATCCCTTTGATTCCCATTTTGTCTTCGATTTTGCACTTGAATTGCTTGTATTTTATGCTTATTGTAGATGTTGGTTTACGTGAAAAAATGGAAAAAATGTTTTAAAAGTTTTTAAATCAATTTAAGAGTATACTGTTCTTATTTTTTTATTGCTTCTCGATTATAGTTGTTTCATGATGCACATTTTAGGTTTTTTTGACCAACAAAATTTTAGCACACAGCTTTGGTTTCATGATTCATATGGAAGAATTATGTTTCACATACCGCGAGATTCTTTCACCTAATATGAAGGGATCTCTATGAAACTTTTGTATCATGGTTACTCCTCGTCTTCAGCTGAACCAAAGAGTGACAAAATATCTCTAATTTTTAGACAGTTTTGACAAAAATAGGATTATAATCTATTATTATAGATTATAAAAAATAAAATTGATTGTAGTTTCTTATAATGTAATTTGTTATAATGTCATCATTATAATGAATTACCAATCGTTTAAATATCTACTACCTTGTGGCACTTATAATTAATTATAATTTTTATAAAAGTACAATTATAAATGTAATATAACCGAATATTTTAATTTTTTTTCTACAAAATAAAAAGTAAGCCATATGACAGGAAAACAGGTGAAATATTGTCCTTTGTAAAATCCGGCAAAACTATTTACTTCAACAATCAAAAAAAAAATTTGACAGATTTTTGTTTCGATCATACATTTTCATGACAAAATGATGTGTTTTTAAAGTCGAATTCATCTATCATGAAAGTTTCAGATTTGAAGCATTCACTGGATACTTATCACATATCCACTGTTGTGCGATACAAATTACATTGAACTTGAACCAATCAAAATTAAGTTCTTCCCTCAGATTGCTTTTTTCAAATGTCGTCACCGAATTTTCAGCAGGAGTCGAAGGAAGCACGAAGTCTGCCTCTGGTGAACCTCCTCGTACTTTGACTTCGCCGTTGTCTGAACCAAAACCAATTTCATTGATAACATTCACGCAAAGCTCGTCATCAAATCGCACCTGAAATACGCAGAGACCTCGAGCTATGATAAGACGTTCCAAGTATCTGTTATCCTACTGTCTGCTAAAAAAAACATTGAAACCATATTTTGCTGTAATGGCGGCTATTTTAACGCAAAAGTTGGTAAAGCAAAGGATTACACGAAAGCTATTCGAATAGCGGAAGAGATGAAGAACCGATTGAAGAAAAACAAAATGTGTTCCAAAGACTGTCTATTACGTTTTTTTGATATCAAAAGCATATCAGCTATAACTTGAATTTCAAGCTTTTAGAAACTTTTCCAATATGAACAATTTGAAATAAACCAAGTAAGAGCAGAAATTTGTTTTTCTGACTTGTTTTTACATTTTTCTATGTCGAGCTCGATTACCATGCTCGCTGGAGAGCAGTTTAATAATGAGCGCAGAATACAAATACGAGAGAAATAGCTTACATGATCGAATTCGATAGACCAAAATTTCATTCAAATATTGATATAAAAACATAACAACATTTTTGCAGCTTTCAGAACAACACTTTTCGGATCTAAGTAACTTGCCCCATATTTACTATCTTACTATTGTAAGCTCTAGTCGTAGAAAAAATGTTGATCCCCAAAAAACAATACTCCATAAATTTTTATTGTTATGCAGAACAATATTGGTATTCCAGTACATGTTTTTTCAGACAGTGATATCGGGTTCGAACATTTTCTTAGACACGTGATTTGAAATTTGAAGTTTGAATTATTTTACCGTGCAAAACAAAAGGGCTAACCGCTCAATATTGACCTGAGGGTTTTCCGAGGAAGAGTACTACTCAACAAAATGGACGCTTGTATGGTGAAAAGAAGCCTGCCCAAAAGGATGATCCTAATTGCAGAAAAAAAGTCAGTTTTTATTTGAGTATCATAAAGAAATAGCTGCAAAAAACTTTTAACGAAATATTTGAAAATCTGTAAATGCATTTCGTCAGGATTCATAGGCATATTTCAAGATGCCGTTCAGTAAGCATTGATTAGAAAACTACTCCGAAAAATTGCTCACAACAGATAAAGCTTTTTTTCCAGAAAGTTTCAAAACATCGCGACCACTGGAGTTTTTAATTCGACATTTTTACTGTAGTTTTGGCTTATTTTCTCGAATGGCGTTTGGGAAAGAAAGAGCTATCTGACAACACTTTCAACGTTTTGAGATTTGAGAAGTTGGCCGCAAGTCAGTCTCAGTGAAAAAGTTGCTGAAAGTTTTAAGCTCATTTTCTTTATGAGATGATTTGCAGGCCCTGCAATTTTGTTGAAAACTTGAGAAAATTTTGAAATATCAGACTTTTGTGACTTTTATTAATACTTGCTTGTTTTCGTTTCTACGTTACTCCAATTTTAATAACGATCACGATTTTTTTGGAAATACGAGTCCAAATTCGGAAGCTTTTTTTAACGCAAACAGGTCTGCAGTTTTCGCTCTATATCTTTTTTCTGGTTCTTAAATATCCTAACCGAGCAATTTTTGAATAAAGAAGTGGAAAAATCAGCAAAAAATTCAGTTTTTGTTTTCAGTATCAGTTTTTTTGGGGTTTTTGAGCTTTTTCAAAAATTCATCGCTTTTGAACTCATCATTTCATCTTAACTACAGTTTTTTGTAGCGGTCATTCGAGTTTACTGGATAATACAAAATAAGATCAAAATTTGTTCAAAGCTTTCTATTGTAAATTTTTTTTTACATATTACGCCCAATTAAAATAACTAACGAACAAGAAAAAGAAACAAAAAAGCTCGGTTCCCGTTATTTGAAAAGGAATGCAATGCTACAAAGCTATTTCAATTAGCTCACGCACAGTTAATTTGTAGTATGTATAAACAATTAAATCAACCAATCTTTAAAATAAAACCATAATTTGACTCAGAGCGAATCTACGGTTCTCTGGAGAAGGGCGGATTTTTCAAAGTTTTTTCAAAGTTTCGACCTTTTTTTAGGTCGCCGAATTGATTTTCCAAGCTCTCACAAATCACTTGTGTGTGTATATAAAAGTAAATATAAAATTGTAGCTTTTTGTAGCTTCACAAATGCATATTGAATAAAACTCGTTTTCTTAACAGTAACTTTAATAACTCAGAACAAAGAGAAGCATCAGATCTATATACTTGCCTTGATATGTCTCAAAGTTTTTCCTGAACTTTTGAAGTTTGTCATTTTTCTAATATAATTCTCGGGGGATATTCCTCTTCTGTGGCCGTATATCATATAGACTCTTGTTTGATAGTAGCAGCAACCTATAATACGAAAAATTCGAACTTTTAGAATCTGAATATTCAATTTAGTAAGATATAGAAATGTTAAGTATTAGTTTGTCAAGTTTTTGAAAATCATTTAGACAAGTGTGCAAAATCCTAATGATACCCTGGCTACTAACCTTTTACTAGTTTTCGAACCTCAAGCAACGTTTTTCCTGTTGATTATGATTTTTTTTTGCTTTCCTTAATGCAAAAATTTCACAGTCTCTATAGAATTATCTGTTATAATCAGTAAAAAGGTCAAAAACTAATAACTCAAGATCAGGAGTTTTCTGGCTACAAAAACCATAGGCAAGTAGTACTGTAAAGTCCACTTTCTGAGATCGATACGCCTCGTAGTCGCTGTACACCTTTTTATACAGATAAAATCCCGTATCCAACGGAGGCTGTTTTTCTAGATAAAAATAGTATGTACATTATCTAGCCTGGTTTTTTCATCTTCTTTGAGCAGGAGTGATCTATTTTGTTTCTGGTTTAGTAATAAACAGTTTCTGGACAGAAATTACCAGAAATTAGTTCACTGCTCAACCGCAACGAGGTAAGGATACTTCGAGTTTACGAAATAACAGTGGCAATTCAGTGCAAACTAACACGTGCTATAACAAGTTTTATTTTGCTGAAGCTATCAATAAGGACTGTAGACTAGTGATTAGCACAACCGCCTAGAAACTTGAAGGTCAGAGAAGCGAGTCACACCAGTGTACTTTTTTCTGGTTTTTTTTCTGATCAGAATTAAGATCAGAAAAAAAGAAGGTAAAGAAAAATCGTGCTTTATTTAAACAATTCAAAAAAAAATCTGACCAGAATTTAGATTAGATATAATGTTTTTCAGGTCATAAATCAAAACTTTTCTCGGTAAGAGAGTGTATCTGTTGGGGAATAAAATTAGCCATTACAGCCATACACAACCGATTTATTTAGATATTTTTCGGCGTGCGGCAAAGTTGGAATTTTGGACCCCGATAACTTCCAAGAACCTGAAATGATGTAGCTGAAATCCCGATGGTAAAATTGTTTGCAATGCAGCAAAAACAAATAGCAAAACACTCAGTACCTCCATTCTTGTTGGTCAGAAATGTTTCTTGTTGAAAATAAACAGTATCGATAAAAACAACAGAAAATCGTCAAAATAACACCAAAATTGACAATTTTTTCTGCTTAACGTTGTTATATTGCTAGAAAATTTTTTGCGTGCGTGTTGCATTTGTTTGAGGAGGGGGTGGAATGGAAAGATGGAAAAAAAGGAAAACTTTTCTTAACAAATAGCAACAACAAACATATATATTTCGTTAAATTAGAATATAGTTTGTCAGGTAAGAAAATTAATGCAGAAATTTGTGCACACTTCTCGGCATTCTTTACGCTGACTTTTTAACTTTCACAAAAAAAATTGAGCAATTCAAACAACAACCAGAAAAAAACTGAACACGAAAAAGTTATCTTGAAAAAGAGACCTGAAGGATCCATTTGAAAAGAAAACCAATTGAGGCCTCTGTACCATTCGAAACTCAGCCTTTCAATGCTGAACGTGTCGTTCCAGTGAAGGTTGCGATGATTTTTTTTAGTAGTCCAGTATTTGGTCAAGCAGAAGTATTCACTGAAATAAAAAAAAGTATTTTCTTTAGAAAATCTTCAAGAAATTTTTTTTAGGTTTGAGTGAAACAAAAGTTTTTTTTCTGATAAAGTAACGTATTGCTTTTTTATCTTATAAAAATTTTCCATATGCCAAATATCGATTACAGAAGGAGAAAACCCGTTCATTACGTAAACAAAGCGTGTTTTTCTTTTTTTTTTGTCAAAAAGTCATTTTCTAACCCAGAGCTAAAACGTGAATTTTTTTTAGACTTCAGATCAATCAGCTGCAAAAGCTCATTTTGCCATTGGCAAGGCACGGGTGGTTTGCTTCCGCAATCATTTAATTGCTGGGCAAAATCGTTTATGGATGTGACACAACGCCATCAGTTGATTCAAAACCATACCACCAAATTGGTACTACCAAACCATAACCAAAACTGTAAAAAATGAGCTAAAATCTTTAGAAAAGAAAGCAAATTTTGTGCTCTTTTTATAGGTCTCTCAAAATTTGATGCTTTTTCTCTATCAAAAATATGATTATGATTTACGCTTAAGATATAGTCAACTCTGTGTTTTTTCTAAAGTTTGTTTGTACAAAGTGGAAGTTGTTTCAGCTCACAAAAAATACAATTGAAAAATTAACCAAGCTTTTCTCGTCTTCTTTACTTTTATTAAACTGGATTCAGCGTAGATTTTGGATCAAACTCAATAAGATAATTTTTTGTTCAAGTTTTTTTTCTCATTTTCTGTGACTAGACAATTGCAATCGGCGCTGTTTCGTTCCATGGTTTTTTAAAACAAATTATGCTAATTAAGGAAAATTGTCTGAAGAACAAAAGACTAAGTCTGCGGAAAATTTTCAACCAATCAGATTTTAGTATTAGAAAAAAGTATAAAAAAAACAAAGGCAACAAAAAAATGGACGAGAACAGTCTTAATTGTTTGAAAAATTGATAGTTTTGACAATGAAATCCAGCAACATACAGCCACAAAAAATTCGCCTATCTAGTGCTCAGATTGGCCTTGTAATTATAAAGTGATCAAAAATTCTACAGATTTTTCAAATAGATTCAACAAAGCAATTGAAACGATTAAGGGAGCTTGTACATTTCAATGTCAGAGCATAAGTAACAATTAAAAATTGTTTTAGAGAAAGAAATGATACAAGGGTGCAGTGTGTGAGAGAGAGAGGGGACACTTTATTGTTTCAATATACTTATGCAGTTGCAGAACTGATTGTATAAAAATCTAGTGTACAATATTACGCAATGGTTATATAACATAACAAGAAAAAACATAAATTACAACTTTCAATTACAACTTTCAAAACATAGAAAGTGAAAGTTTCTGCTTTTTAAATCAAACAAATTTATTAATCTCATTCACCAGCACATCTCATTCCGAAGCTTATAGAAAGTTTTTAATTCCCGATTAAATTTTTTCTATAGAACTCCAAAGATTGCGATGGTCGGCTAAAGCACATCCCCGCTCAAAAAATATTCTTTTTTGATTTCCTTTTTTACCCTAACTATCCCGCTGTTGCGACAAAAAAAAATGTGGCAATTGTCTTTTTTTATTTCATTAGATGAACATGCTTAGGTATGTAATGATTTATTTATTGAACAGCCCTGATAACTGAACCACGATTAACTTCAAACCATTGATTTTTGTGTCAAAAGGCACTCGTTTTTTGTTGATTTATATCAAAATCAGAGCTTCTTAAAAAAGTTTTGTCAGCTCTTTTGCATACAATTGTATGCACAGAACAATAAGTGGACGAAAACTCACTATTGTCGTATGAGCTTATTTGAGACATTTCAAGAATTTTTCACGAAAGAGATGTGACGGAAATTCACAATTGGTAAAAGATAGGCATCTTAATTTCTTGGTGGTGCAATGTTACTTTGACTGCAGATATTTTCCTCCTTGAGTCGAATTTGCATTTCGAATTTTCAAACGAAACACTTAGTTTTTTCCCTAATCAACTGAAAGGGATTAGAGAAAAGAAAATTGAGTTTTTTTTCTGATAAAAGCAGGGACGGATTTAGGGGTGGGGGGGGGGGGGGGGGGGGGGCGTGTGGGGCGGACGTTTTTCTTCAGGGATTCGACTCCCAGCCGACTCAAAGGGTCCCCTCTTTGTACTATTTTGAGATATCCATCTTTTGTAACATAACCTAAATTTTTTCTAAAGGCGCCTTTGACGCCACTACATACTAGGGGGGGAGCGCTCCGAAAAAAAAGCGATTTTTTTTGTCAAAATTTTTCAAAATGTGACTAAAAAATACGACAAAATTTTCCAAAAATTCGACGCTCCCCCCCCCCCCCCCTCCTCGAGAAAATACTAGATCCGCCCCTGGGCGAAAGGTTAACTTAAATCAACTGAAAATTGGAAAAGGCTGCAAGCCTTCTTCACTCAAAAGAATATTTAAATATTTGTTTATTTTTCTCACCTAAATTCCCGGCATTTTTCTCCTATTAGAGTTTTTATGTCCGGCAGAACAAACTCAAAAGAATAGTCGCTCCAAGCAATGCGAATGAGGACAACTGAAACATTGATGGATTTGAGCAAGTACTCTGAGTGTTCTAACCCCGTTGATAGCACAGTGCGCCGATGGATTTGAACAAATTGAATAGTAACATTAAAGCCTGCCCTTGAAGAGACTCAAAATTAATCAATTATAAATGTATTATATTTTTAGATATTTTTTATTATTTATAGTCATTCTAATCCATTAGAACTGGTTGTAATCCATTAAAAATGTATTATGATTTTCATTAAGAATCCTAGATCTGTCATTTTCGCAAGAAAAAAATACATTTTTGTTGTTCAATTGGTGTGCATGTAAGCATTAAATCGCAGATTCCGTGGATATACATCTGCAGCCTTTAACAGTTGGTCAAGGATTATGCGTTTTTAGTTTTTCTTTTTTTGTGATATTTTGGTCACGGAATCTGCATCATCACAACCTTTGAAAAGTTGTTCGGACGTTACGGAGTCAACGGCACTCGAAAACCACCAAATCCCATATAACCAAATGACCGATTAAGGCCTAATGTTGAGTTTTAATTAATAATCGATCACACTGAGAAAAATGATGAAACTCAAAATTATGTATTGAAAACAGCGGCCGTTTAGTTCATTTTTTGTATATTATTTTTACCATTTGCTTTTCATATTGAATTTAGTTCTTTACATTTTGCAAATTGATCATTTCAACCTCATAATTAACCTCGTCTACCATTTTCAATCGTCAACATCTCCAACGCACCGCACAATTTTTACTCACACCAATTTTTCCCAAGTCTCTCTCCTACGTTAAGTGGATCCTGTTCTACCCCCATAAACCCTCGACGCACCGCGTTAACAAATGGACGAATTTGAATGTGAGAGCGTGATATGGTGATTATTTGCCGGGTTACAGGCCTTAGGGTAAATATGGCGTGAATGTAAACGTGAGCCTTGGGCTGGGGAAAAGGATGCCCGCATCCAGTTTCAAGCGTTAATAATCGATTATATTACGATTTTAGTACCAGTCTCACTAAAATTGAGAAACAATCGATTTTAATCAATTAATAATTGATTATAATCTCTTTTTTTCAAATCAAATTATAATTAATTATAATTAATTATAATCGATTATTTATTCGTCTATTTTTCCATACAATTATAATCGATTATAATTGATTATAATCCATTATTTTTATTCAAAATTCTATTTCGTTAGTTTTGCACAAAAATCCATTATAATCGATTATAATTGATTATAATCCCTTTTGTTTGTCCATTTTTGTCTTCGAAGTTGCATCTAAATTGCTTATATTTTATGCATTTTGTGGACGTTGGTTCCTATGAAAAATGAGAGAAAATTTTTCAAAATTTTCCATTTAATTCATATTTATAAGTTTTTTTTCCATTTCTTCCCCATTAGAGTTGTTTTGCGATGCATATTTTAAGCTTTTAAAAACACCAAAACATCAGCAAATTGATTTAGTTTCATGATTGATACGGAAAAATTATCTTTCATCTACCGCGAGAAACTTTCCAGTCATATGAGAGGATCTCTGTGAAACTTTTGTTTCGTGGTAAAACTTTGTGTTCAGATGAACCAAAGTGTTCAAGAGATCTCTCTTTTAGAGATTTTTTTATTGACACAAAAATAATAACCCATAAGATACAATTCGAAAATAGAAAAATTCCGGCAAAATAAGAGATTATAATCGATTATAATCGATTATAATTGATTTTAAGGGTTTTTAGTAAGAACTATAATCAATTATAATCGATTATAAGAGATTATAATCTCTTGGAAAATATCACGATTATAATCAATTATAAATCCCTTAAGGACCTAATTTTGGTAATTATAATCGATTATAATTGTCAAAAAATCATCATAATAATCCGTTATAATCGATTATTTACGCCTAAACTTGGATGCGGGTGGGTACAGGTAGTTAACGTGTTAAGTGCTTGAGGTGGGGGTGATTGAATTTGTGGCAGGGAAGTAAACGGATTTTATTTTTTCAGTTTATTTCAAATAGTTAGAGAAAAGCTAGAGTTTCCTCAGAAGATTCGCAACAATGACGGATTTTTGAATCAAACAGTTGAAAAAAATTATATTAGGTAAGAAAATATCGGATTATCTTTTAATTTAAAAATTTTTATTTTTCTTTTAAATAGTCGACTTTAAAGGCAATTTAATCGTTCCAATCGTTTTCGTTGAAAAAAAGTTATCATATATGTATTGGAAACTCTCAAAACGATTTCGGTAAAAGACGAAACTCACGGTAAATCAAGCAAAACAGCAGCAAGTTTGGTTGCATGATGTTCATTTTACTTTAATTATTGTCTTCATAAAGTCATCCTGATTTTGTTCAGTTCAAATATTGCTAGAAAAATATACCAGCAGATCGTAATGGTATCACATCATAAAATTTAGATTTCAAATCAAACGTGAGTAAACAGTTCGCATAAGTTTGTTTGAGCAAAAACAAGCGTGGTGTTTTGCAGGTAGTTTTGAAATTTAGACCGACAGTTAGTTTTGGAACTCTAAACAAGATATTTGCTTACAAAATAAAGGCACCCTAAGTTTTTCTTCCATTGACAATTTTTTAGAAAGTTCTGCTGGAACGTTTTTTTTTGCCTGGACCAAATGAATTCAAACGAAACGATATTGCTAAAGCTTTGCAAAATTTTGGAACAATAAACGATTTTTAAATCGAAAAGCATTAGGAAATAGTGCCCAAAAAAGGAAAATTTTTGCTTATAACAATTAATAGCGGAACTTATGTTTTTAAAAAACTCGGTTATACTGTCAAGTTAATCGATTTCATCATCTAACAATTATTAATAAAATCCAGTAAACTGGACCATGATTGTCTCCGAATTCTTTTTTAAACTATTAGTATCCATAATAAATCTGCACGGGAATTGTTTTCATTTTAAATTTTAGCTGGTAATTTTTCAGCAAAAAAAATCTCGTTGTGAAAAAAAAAATGGGATGTGTAGTGGGTTCGATTTTTGTCTTTCAGTTCAATCCTGATGTTGTAAACTCTATTTTTGTTAGAAAAATGTACCGACGGCAGATTTAAAAAAGTCGAATCAAACCTGAGTAAACATATTTCAAAAATTTATTTGAGCTTGGTGTGTGATAGACAGTTCTGTAATTTAGGCCGACAGTTAGTGTCGAAAATCTAAGAAAGATATTTGCTCACAAAATAAATATATACCAAGTTTTTATTCGATTGAAATTGCCTTAAGAGAGAAAAAAGGGAATAATTCCGACGAAAAAAAAATCTTTT